CAGACGCAGACTTGAAGAATTTTGCAGATTGGTGCGAGAACTGGCCAAAGATATTGAATTTCACGAAGAAAAAGAAAAGGTCGTGAGATATTTGGTGAATTTGAGTGTTTGGGATACAGTTCTAACAAAAAAACGTAATATACCTCAAACAAGATACCCATTACGACGCATTGCACCCACATCTCCATCCCCCTCACATCAGAATGATGGCCATTCTGCGCAGGAATTTCGTAATACTCACAGCAATCCTGAATAATATGTTGTATGTGAATGTACCGAATAAGGTTAGAGAAGCTTGGATTTGTTATAATAAAGAACCATGCCAGTGGATGGTTATGAGAAGAGGATTTATCAATGATGGTCAGATGGAAGTGTTCTTAATAGAAGTGCCGAAAAACGAGACGAAATATAAAAATCGATCAATTTTCGACGATAGAACCTTTGGAGATTGAGGGGAATGGCAGTTTTTTGAAGATCCAGGAACAACATTGCCCCCACCATCACCTTCAACACCAACGGCCCTAGTTGATCAAGAAAAATCCTTTGTAACATTACACATTTCATCATATACCAATTTAGCATTTCTAGTTGCAATAATCTCGATTAATATTATACAATTCTTGAGAGAGAAATAAATAACGAACATTTATAATCTGTTTTGCGTATTTCTGATTGAAATGAGAAATGAACAATACTGATTAGGTTGGAAGCTTGCTGTAAATGCGGTCATTTGTTTTTTCAACAATTCAGATAACGTTGAATACTTCATGCAAATGCGGTTGACTGTTTATTCCAACAATTCAGAAAACCCTAAATACTCCATGCAAACGTGGTTGAATGCGTTTTCCAATAGTTCAGATAAGCTCGGAAAAATTCCTGCAAATGAGGTCAGATATAATTATCAACAACTTTATTCATTCTGGAGCGCGTGAAAATATAACATTTTATATCACTAACGGTTATCAGTTTATGCATTCATGTTTTTCAATGATAAACAAGTCACATGCTTCATCTCTACCCACTCGTTCAGAATATAAAGCAAGAGACTTGCAGCATATCCATTCAGTCTCCAGTTGTGGAAGCCAGAAGACGCGAACCAACTCAGCCTGGGCTCCTACCAATATCATCACCACCAATAATTATCGTTTTTTTTTTGTTCTTGTGTGCAAATACTACAATCAATAACAGTAAGTACCTCTTTTTATTCAAGTGTTCATTTCTATTTCCATATATTATAGACCTTTTCTATCATATTCAAAGTTTTGTAAAATAATTTAGCCAAGTGTCACCGATTATTCCGAAATAAGCCCTTTTTTTTCCATTCTATTTTGAGTTTCATCATAAATAAATCATCCAAGTGGTAATTTTTCATGCTCGATCCTCTATTATCTGCATTTTCCATTTCATTTTGAGTTTTTAGGATTAATTCATTCAAGTGTTTAAGGCTCAATCCAGAGTTATTTCTCTTTGCATTTTATTTCATTAGAATGTTGATGTTTTTTTCCTTCTTCTTCTTTTCACCAGATGGATCTCACAAAATTGAATGAAGTTTCACTGATTGAGGAGAGGAAGCCCATCAAGAAGCTCACCGAACTGCCGATAGGACAACCCCAACCAATCGAGTCAGCCAAAGTTGTTCATTCCAAATTTGGGAAGGCAGTTTTTTAGGATTTGGAGGAGACCGTCATATTTCTACCAAATAGGGTCACAGCCCTATATTCACCGTACATAGGAGTGTTTTTGAGTGGAAAATACTCTCTGATGTTCCGAGGGGAGGTTCGAACAGGAAAGAAAAATCTAGAAGCGTCGTTCGAAATTGTAGGGAACTAAAAAAAGTGAGTTGTTATTTCATTTTTTTTTCGTTTTTTTTTGGTGAGATATTCTTAGAGATGGACATCGCAAATAAATCTGATAATTTGGTGAGGGTTATTAGGAAATTGAGAAAAATTTTGTATGACAACTTCACTAGTAGAGATGAACGAATTTGGTTGAATCGTTTGAGGACGTATGTATTATGTAACAAGGAAATTCGCAAGAATGATTCGTCCATAGGGGTATTGAGGAAGCTTCAAACGAATATGGGCCATTTCAAACAATTTCGGAATATAATTCAAAATAGACATCGTGGTTTAGAGGTCGGAGGTTGGGAACCTGAATTAAAAAATAGAGTGCAGTAGGGAAATGTAACATCAGGTTTTTCGAGTAAAATCAGAACAGGAATCATTATGAATTTGGTGCACAAGTACTTGGAACAATTTTTCGTAGATGCATTCATCCTATTCAAAATTAAAATCAAAAAGATATCGAAGGAATTTTCAATGATTAAAGTCAACGCTAATTTTTGTGGAGAATTTGTCAAAACATCAAACAAAGAAGAAGAAATTACAGATTTGAAATACTTCAATACTAAGAATGAAATTGTGGACGTATCGACGGATTTACAGCGATGGTTTTGTGATGATGTTCGTGACAAAATTTTCAATAAACTAAGTGGATTTCAAGAACGTGACTCTGGATGGGCTTTGCGTAAATTAGTATCGATGGAAATAAATATTAATAAATTTGAAATGGGAAATGGCTCCTCCTTTATTGAACTACCAAAAGGAATTTCCAAAGAGAGAGCATGCCTTAATATAAGGAATACAGACTCAGCATGTTTCTATTGGTCAATCATAAGCGCATTGTATCCAGCAAAAACGAATAGAGAGCTCACTTCTTCATATCCATTTCACCCGACAGTTCTAAGACCAGAAAATCTAGATGCACCTATGGCTTCTAGCCAAATTCCAAAATTTGAAAAAACCAATGAAATTTCTGTGAACGTATACACATCAGAGTTGAATATTGTGATGCAACTATCATTCTATACTGTTGCACCAGCCAAACTTACAAAAAATAAACTAGATGAACATGTCAATTTATTGCTAATACAAAATGAGTACTTTCCAAAAATCAATGATTTTGATGCCCTTCCGATTGATGAAAATTATTCTGACATCAAATATCATAATTGTCTAATCCAATATTTATCTCGATTATCATCAAATCAACTCGATAAACATGATGGTAAAAGATTTATATGCGATAGATGCATGAATTATTTCCATAGTGAGGAAAAATTGAGAGATCATGAGGTGCTTTGTTCTCGATTGAATCAATGTAAAATCTCTTTTCCAAAATACGATCATATAGAATTCAAAAATTTCACATATAGACAGACTGCTCCTTTCATTATTTATGCCGACTTTGAATGTCAATTGGAAAATATTGATGATATGGTTTCATCCAAAACTGTCAAATACCAAAAACATGTTGCATACAGCGCAGGGTATTATTTGCAATGTGCATATGCTGACTCTCTGTCCTTCTTTAGTAGCCATCGGGGGAATGATTGTATGGATTGGTTTTCCTGTGAAATGGTCAGAATATCTGAAATGGTGCAATCAAAAATTGAAACAATTGTGCCGATGACTGACTGTCTTTGAGACAAGTGTGGGACTTCAGTTTGTTATATTCGCGAAAAGTCATTCACAGAGAAAGACACAATCGTACCTGACCATGACCATTCCACAGGGGCGTTCAGGTGGTTTGCACATCAAGCCCCATGCAACGTAAATTTTCGAAAATTGTTTGTATTGCCTATCATGTTTCACAATCTGACCGGATATGACTCACATTTCATGATTAGACAGTTGAGCAAGAAGGGTCGCATCAGTATACTCCCAATCAACATGGAAAAGTACATTTCATTCACTTTATATGACGAAGACACAGACATTGAATTTCGATTTATTGACTCTTTTTGCTTCATGGGAACATCTATAGGCAAACTATCTTCAATAATGGACCGAAAAGACTTGAAAATCATGAAAAAAGAGTTCAGTTATTTGAATGACGAAACATTCAGCCTTCTCACCAAGGAAGGCGTCTTTCCCTACTTATACATCGATTGTTTGGAAAAATTGAATGACACTAAACTACCACCTAGAGAATCTTCTTACAATGAATTGAATGACCAACACATTTCCGATGAGCAGTACGCCCATGCCCAAAATGTATGATCAGCTATCAGAATTTCAGACTTGAGATCATATTCATACATTTATTTAAAGACGGATGTATCATTGTTGGCCGATGTGTTTGAAAATTTTCGGAAGAAATGTATTGCGTCCTATGGGTTAGATCCAGCATGGTACTATACCATGCCTGGATATACCTGGGACGCAATGTTGAAGTACACCAAATGCAAACTTGAATTACTGAATGATGTTGATAAAATCATGTTCATTGAAAAGGCTATACGAGGTGGAATCTCAGTTTGCAGCAGCCGGTACGCGGAGGCCAACAATCTACATATGTCTGATCTTGATCCGAAAGACCCATCGAAATATCTCATGTACTTGGACGTCAATAATCTATATGGATGGGCAATGTCTGAATATTCACCGTTCGGAAGTTTTTCTTTGGTGGATGACGTTGAAAATTTCGATGTTATTGCTATCGCAGACAACGCTCCCGAGGGGTATATGTTGCAAGTGGACATGGAATATCCCCGCGAGTTACACAACCAACTTGAAGACTTTCCATTCGCTGCCGAACATCGCATACCACCAGGCTCAAAATTACCAAAATTGATGACGACACTTCACAACAAAAAATACTACATTTTACATTACAGAAATTTGAAACAATGTTTATCTAACGGTCTGAATCTAACGAAAATTCGAAAAATCTTGAAATTTCATCAGTGTCTATGGCTGCGGTCCTGCATTGAGCTAAACTAATGAATTACGCTGTTTCCGGAAAGACCATGAAAAACATTAGAAAACATAGATTAGTGAAACTCGTGAGGTCGAACAATTTCCGAGGAAAACTTGATGGCTATAGAATTGCAGAAAGTTGAAGTCATCTTCAATAAACCCCTGTATGTAGGCATGGCCATTTTGGATTCGTCAAAAATATGCATGTACAACTTCCATTAGGACTATATGCTTCCAAAAATGACCATTGAAATCTGCAAATTGTTGTACATGGATACTGATAGTTTTATATATGAACTAAAGTGTAATGATGTATATGCAGAAATGATAAAGACCGATATTTCTAGATTTGATACATCCGAATATGCTGTGGATAATAATTATTTGATTCCTCAAGCAAATGAAGAAAAAATGTGTTTTTTAAAGGATGAGGCCAATGGAAAAATCGTAACTCATTTTGTAGGGTTACGTTCGAAAATGTATACTAATAAAGTACAAGGAGGTAAGGTTTTAAAAAAGTCCAAAGGGGTAAAAACTAATGTTGTGAAAAATAAAATTGGTTTCGAAGACTATTTGGCTTGCTTGAAAGAGTTTAAACAGATAACAACGTCCCAACGCTGTATACGTTCATATGCCCACAATGTTTTTAGCATTGAACAATCGAAAGTTGCTCTGAGTCCTTATGACGATAAGCGATATTTAATACCAGTTTCTTTCGAAACGTTGCCCTGTGGCCATCAGGATGCAAAAGAGTAATTTTTTTTTCGTTTCGGTTCTAAGATGAAATCATGTGATTCTACTCGAAAATACTGATTGGTTATGTCTTTTCCAGATCATGTCTCCTCCTCTGCGATTGGAAGAACTGAGCATGAAAGTAATCTGCGAGAATATCAAAAATATAACAAGTTTTGTGAATCATTCCATTGCATTGCAATTGATTCCTAGATCATTAGTAAAGGAAATCATAAAAAGTTATAGTTTTTTTCGTTTGAACCAGAAAGTTGAGAATGTTCAAAATGATGAATCATGTATATTGGTTCCATTAGAAAACATGTTATATACGAGAGAAATTGACACGAGTCGATTGAGGAATGCAATTTTATTCACCTCTGATTGGTCTCAAGAGTATAGAGAATCATATTATTGCGTTTGGACAAACTTTCATACAATAAAACAGTTGAATTTGGTTTCATGCCATAGTTGCTTAAAATCTCTGATGTTTGTGTTGAAAATGCATGAAATCAATATAAATCTGCACATACTTCGAGACCACTTCCACCTATATCACAAAACAGAAAATTTACACATGTTATATCGTGATAAAAATTTGTGGTGCCAAAATGGTTGTGGACAACTGTTATTTGGACTCAAAGAGAGGTATAAATGTGATATGGATCTACATGTCACTCCACACCTAAGTGTGAATCCATGAGTTCACCCTGATTTCAATAGATTCATCGATTCTAATGATGATGATTTGGATATTGATTTTCGTTAATTTCGTTCATAACCTTGACTGCTGCGCTGCTATATCCATCTTTCTGAAATAATCTCCCTAAAGAACAAGATAAAATGAAAAACAACTTTTTTTACTCCTCTAAATTTCTCATGAAAACTTTGTATTATATCACTTTTTCATTACTAAATATACTGTTTATATTTATATATATATTTTCCTCTTTTGCTGTTCGTGGCGTTGATGATTTTCATGCGGATATTCAAAAACATATTTTTGATCTCTGTGCTTTATTCAATTCAAACATTAATTACATTATGAAATGGTCAATTTTAAGGATGATAGTAAAATAAATATTCACGTAGAGCATTTGCCTAAATGCTGCCTGGAGATGATGCTTGACAAAGTTTATCAATCATTTCAGTGTGACTTGAAATAGTTTTATTTTCATTCAACCAGGTGTTGGCAATTTCAGCAACATTAGGATAATAATCATCAAAATCCAAAGCATTCAACTTGGTAAGTCGATCAGATACCACATGCATGTGTGTTTGTAGAATTTTGTCAACATCCTGTTCGTTCAGCGTCATATCGATGACATCTTTGGAAATAAAAACTTGCTTCACAACAATTTACATAAATTGATATAATTTCACAATGTGTCCGCACTTTATCACCACAGGATCATGATCATCTGGGTAGCTGCTGCTGCTGTCGTTGCTGATGCTGCTGCTATCTCCGAAAAAGGTTTGTTCAACCTCACCCAATATATCTATTATGGATGCCCATTCGTAGGTGTTGAATGATATTTGTCGCGGTGAAAATCTTTGTTTCAGAATCACACAGGCGCTGAATTCTCTTGCGGGGATCAGGCCACATCGGATTTCGTAGCAGGGCGTATGGAAGACCATCAATAACAAGGGCTTTTCATTTTGAGCTTTGATTTCATACCATGCTAATGTTTCTTCAACGTCGAATTTCTGTTGAGATACAGCCTCATACTTGTTCAAAGAACGATCAATGTCATCGAGAGTTTGCTTGTAATCATCATCATCACCACCACCACCACTTTTACTATCATCATCATCGTCATCATCAAACTGAATTTCAACACTGCGGCTACTACTTTCATAACCACTATCATGAGACATTTCGAAAACTGAACTGACGCTGAATGAAGAGAATGTTGTCACTTTTTATACCACACTCCTCTCCCCCACTGCTGTTGCTGTGTACAGTACATCAGAGTAATAAGGTATGTGTTGGTTTTTCGCTATGAAAGTGAATTCATGAAAGGCCCCTCAGATATTTCTTGATTTGTGCTCGTTTTCCATATGTTTGCATTATGATTTGTTGGTGGCATCGATCCAGCTGTTGTGTGTATCATCGAATCCCAGCCATTTGACAAACACCTTTTTACCCGTTTTCCTCAAAATTTTCTCCACTAGATAAACATCTAACTGTTTACTTTCTTGCACTTCTTCAGGATAAAAGGCACCTCTGATCGGTGTACCACGCAAATCCTCCAAAATATACGTAGTAGGTTTCGTAATACGAACTTTGACGATCTTAAATAGTTCAGTAGTCCAATTCGGTGTATAATTCTTTTCAGTTACATGTTCGGCTTTGCTTATTCTCACAATGTCACCGACATTGAATTTTCGAACTCCTATAATTTGGATGTGATTGTATGTGGATTTGAGAATCTCTTGTTCGTTGATTTTGGTGATGTCACTAGGTTTGCATCTAATAGTCGTATGTTTCGTGTTATTATAATTTTTTGTTATTTCGTGCAATACATCAATCCAACGGTATGAACCATTTGAACTAAAGTATTTGTACAGTCTTTCCTCCAATGTTCGTATAACACATTCAGCAATGGCAGCCTCCATTATGGTGTACGTATGGTGATGGTTGATGGAGAACTTTTTCATTAGACTTTGAAACTTTCCGTTGTAGAATTCGGTGCCTTGATCAGTTTGCGAATTTTTGGGAACTTTGTTGTTGGCATGCGATAGAATATCGGCAAATACTCGAGCAATGTCTGCACCAGTTTTTGATTTCAACGGTCGCGTCCATAGGTACTTAGAAAAACAATCAATCACGACCATTATCAGCTTGTGATCCTTATTAATGGAGGCATAAGGTCGCATTTCGGCTAAATCCATTTGCCATAAATCATCCAAGCCTATTATGATGATGCGACGTCTCGGGAATTTTTTCCTAGCAGGTGAATGTTATTCATTGACGACCTGAGAGATATATGATAATGTCCTATACTCTCGATGACATCTTGGGTATTTTCAGAGATGTAATCTCTACTGAAACGTCCTTGAGTTGTTTTTTCAACGTCTCCGATTCTTTCGAAAGAACCTGAAGAATAACTTGGAAAGATGATTGGATAGTATTCTGTAATTGTTCAACACTTTCCATTCTCATCGTAGCCCTTTGCTGCAACTTGCTGAATTTCTGCGATGATTCATCTGATTGTTCCATCACGTTTATTTCAGAAGACTCCAAATGTTTTTTAATATCATCACTGGTGCTGGAAGTATCCTTCACAAGTTTATTGATTTCCTTCTTGAATTTTTATATGAGCACATCGAATTCAACTTTGCTCATTTTCTCTTCCAAAATTACTTGTTGGTTTGCAGTATAATTGTTGGAAGCTATCTGAAAATTGGACTTTATTTTTGAAATAGCACTATCCACATAATGTTTGTTTGCCTCCCAAGGAACGCACGATGCTCTTTGAACATTATAGGGATTCCCTTTCGTGCGCTCCAAGCGATGAAAAAAAAAAAAAATCAGTGGCGTCGGTAGGAGATTGCACGTTACACATCTTCAAATGGCCAATGTCAATGTCACCAGCTGGAATATGTGAAAATCCAGATCTGACAGCCACCATTGCTGAGCCGTCACCGTGTGGAAAAGGTCCACGTCCGAATTTGTCGAGACTTATTTTGTTAATGACAGCAAGTTTGGAACGTCACACATTCGTCACGTATGTATTACGTATGCGTTATCATGCCTGCCTCTTCTAATTCATTCAAGATGGCGACGATTTCGTTATCGTATGATGTGTTTCCAGCTTGCTCTGATGCAATTTGTAACTTCAATCTGTCCACCAATTCATACATATATTCGATAGGGGTTGTGTTGACGTACAAACTTTGAACCAAAACCACTGGTATTTTACCTGATCATTGGACGAATAATGTCTTTGTATTTAGATCGAGAGGAACCCTTCATGCGTCCCAGAGAATTCTGATGAGCTTAGGTGAGTGTGAGTATGTGCTTGTATGGGCCCTGATCATCTTCAGCGAAGGATGGATCCTTATAGAATAACAATTGATACAGGCCTGAGTCGCCACGAAATCGATAGCCACCAACAAGTATATCTCCTGTTCTTTGATGGAAATTAATTTCTTTTCCGTTGAGGAACCATTTCGATGTTTCTGGATCATATTTGGGACCATAAACGCTATCGATATTCTCATCTTCTGTCCAGTATTCAGTCAGATATTTTTGGGCCATCACAGGATACTGATCAATGTAATCATGTATCGCAGCCGATGAGATATTTTGACTATACGCAAAAACCTCATCATTAAAATTATCATATTCATCATCATCATCATCATCATCTTCAGCATGTCCAACATTATCAGCTACATCTACCAGAGGTATGAAATTAGTTTGATTCAAATCCGATTGCTGCTGCTGATCCTGCTCCTCCTCCTCCTTTTTGCTTCATCTCTAACGGTATAGTCTGATTGCTTCGCTTGATTTCTGACAGAGTCGTACCATCGATTTCTTCTTCTATAACCTTGGACGTGGTGGCAATTTGTTTCAAAGAAGTTTTCAATGGTTGGAATATCTTTTGTAGCGCTTCATCATCCTCAGACTCGCCCAATTTCAAAGCTAAATATTTCTTCCTGATTGATTTTCCTAGATCGTTTATTTTTTTTCTCATGTAGTTCATCAGCAACGTCATCATGCGTCTCGGTTGACTTCATTATGATGAATGATTGCTGTCATCTTCTTTGCAGACATCATGACAGCTTTATAAATTTATCGAAACCATTCCTATATCGACCGGCATTCATGTCAAAAGTTTTGGCAATCACCATCGTTCCATGTTGACCTGATAATGAATCATTCCAACACTCCGAGCACAGAGATTCGAATTGGTCGAATGACATGTCTGGTGAGACATGTTCAGCAAACACATGTTCCAGATTTATTTCGTCCTGTCGAAATAACACCACCAGGTAACTGTTGTCGCGCACCAGCTGCT